AAAAAAAAAAAAAAAAAGAAGAAAAGAACCGTGTTACAATAAGAGAACAAAAATATCGCATGAAAAATACGTAAAGAAAAATATTTCCATTTCATTATTTCTTTTTTAATTTCTTTTTTTCAATACCCTGTTTACCTTAATATCTAAAATAGGACCTTTATGAACCGTGTACTGCGTCCTCGCTTGTTCTTTGTCCTCCCTCGCATCTGCTATTACAGTCGTTAGTGATTCAGAATTGCTGTGCTGTTCACTTTCAGTAACTCCCGCTCTCTCTTCCACAATTTCGACGTCCGAATTCTCACAATTCTGCGCAATATCCATAGTAACGAGTTCATTTACTAAAATCGGCATAACTTCGACGATATTAGGACTCTCGTATTCCTTCGTATCGTTCACGGGCAAATCCACTTTCGCGGGTTTCGTCACTCTCTTGACTTTATTAGTGGAACTTGTTTGATCAGTGGCACATCGTGCTGCGTCGTCAATCTTTTTCATCGATTTCGAAGCCTGATTCTGCGAAGGTTCATGGGCTGTTTGTTTCGCGCACACAGTCGGCGAATCTTTGGTTAACGTCGGCTGCGTGGAACTTACGAGAGCATCCATTTGAGGGGACTTGGTATAGTGCGTGTTAACTCTGGCTATACTATACTTTTGCAATACAGTCGAGCTGACGTTCGGGCACAAAATCGTCTCTCTGCAATCTACCAGCCGCACCACGCAATTCAACATTTCGAACATCGTGTGTTTCCTGCGTCTTTTAATCCCTTTAAACGATTCACTGCTCAGCTCGTGCGGCGCAGCCTCAATTTCCGAGAGCGTCGGCGTGCATCTCTTTCTGTTCGCTGCCGGTTTCTGAACGCCGCGACACTTTTTAGGATTCACTAGTATGCTCTCGAGTTCCTCGCACGACGACGACGACGTAGACGACGCGCACGGGAACTGCGTTCTGATATTCTTCTCATCTTGCTTTCCAATTGGAACCGCGATGTCAGCTTCCACTTTTATGCGTTTCGTTGGTGTATCTTCGGTGTATCTCGAGCTTCGCCGTACGGGAATTTTGCTGCTTGCCCTCTTACGTTTCAACAACTTCTTATCGAGAAATACATCGTCCTCTTTTGACACTTCCGTGCTCTCGATACGAGATGAACTTTGGTTATTGTTTTCCTCGCTCGACGTTTTGTCGAATCGCTCAGTGTCTTTCCTTTTACGCGGCTCTCTGTGCTCTCTGTGCTCTCTGTGGCTTATAAAGTGTTGTCTGTCCTGAGGTGCACAATTCGATTCTCCAATAGCACTGTCTTTACCATAGAGAGATAAGGGGGGATCTTGCACGTTGCTCTCGCTTGCATTTTCCAATTCAGAGCCGTCGGGTTTGTTCTTGGATGTAATTTCATCCGCAACAGCGACGTTTCTGTCACTGTCGGATTCAAGTGGGATGCCGGAACATCTTTTTGTCTCTTTCGGTTTCGTTACGAACTGCCTGTCGACAGGACCCTGCGCCACGATACTACTCTCGTCTTTTAAATTAGACTTTTTAGTTTCCACGTCAATTTTCTCTTCGAGTTTCTCGGGGCGTTCAGGCACGTTCGACACACACCGATCGTCGGGAATGTTATTCGAATTCAACTCCGTGTTATACGAATCTAAATCTTCTGTCGTTCGGTCGTTGATATTTTCAACGCTGTCACTCGCTACAGTTTGTTGTACAGAGAATTCTACCAAACCTACTTGGTCTGTAGATGTTTCAGGCAAATCTTTCGCACCGGTCTCCAAATCTTGTTGGGAATGCTCACTGTTTGAAAGTTGCTGCGATTCGTTAGGCAATATTGTTCGCGGATCATCCGTTTTAGAATCATTTTCAGAAATTTTCACCAGCTCTGTCGATGCTCCTTCGACAGCGTTTAACGTGGAGGTATCCGTTTGTTTCTCCTCGTCGTTTTTCAATTCAACGTTCTCTCCTGAATTTAATACAATGGTGTCACTCGTTCCAGTATCGGTTGATATTTTCTCTGCGGATGGCTCTTCCACGTAAAGATCGTCCGTTCTGTTCTCCGCCACCGCGTTTATCACCTCAACCACGTTCTTCCACAACTGCGGGTCACTGTTTTGCACAGTGCTCGTACAGTCGCTCGATTGTTGTTTCGCTCGTTGCTCGAACGAGTCCAACAGTCTTCTCTTCCGATGCAGCTTCTTCGCGTACAGCGTGGCAAGTGGTAATTCCTCCTCGTCGGAGGTCAATGCGTTCACCGGCGTCCGCAGCATGTTTCTCAATTTCTTCTTCCTCTTTCGCATTCTCTCTCTCATCCGTCGCGCTTTTGCCATTTCTTTCCTGTACGTTTCCTCCAGAAGGGCAAGGCCCGTGCTCGGTTTCTTTTGATCGTCAGCGCCTGAATTTTGGAGGAAAGAGTCCCAGGTACTGTCGTCTGAGTATATCGACCTCTCCGGCGTTTTGCTCCCCGACAGCTTCTCCGCGTCGTTGCTCTCCCTGCTCGGCGTTTCGTTCTTCTCCTCGCTGCTTCTCGTCGCCATTTCTGCACAATTTTCACCATTGAAATCCGCCACGATCTCCAGCTTTTCACTTTCCACTTGAGATTTACTCGAATCATTCCCAACGTCCTCTTGAAGTTTCGTCGCCTCGCTCGTTGAAGTCTGATCTGAGAAAAGCGGACCCTGTTCAACCGGTGGTGCTCGCCTCGCGTTGTTGTCTCTCTTACACGTCACTTTGATCACGTTATCGTCAATCTGTTTCTTCCCGTCAGCGTCGAGCCTTTTGGCCGATCTTTCAGGCTTCTGTCTCTTTCTTTTCCTCGACGACTTGCCGTCAACCTCCTCGTTTTCAGAATCGTAAACGGAGACGCAACTACTTTCCTTCCTCTCTGCCTGATGATGATTATTGTGCTTGCCCAATGTCTTGGATTTATTAGGATTCACCGGACTGTCTTTCTCGTGTGCTGCTGCCTTCGTCGCAGGAGCAGTGTCAATGTTTTGAAGTAACTGCGACATCAAGGACGGAGTTTGAGGCCGAATCACAGGCGATTCGAGCTTCTCCTTATCCTCCGCGTTGCTACTGTCGCTCGTCAACATCTGATAGAGGGTCATCTTCTCTGTCATTAGTTTGTGGATCTCCACGTCGATCTCGATCATCCTGGCCATCACCGCTTCTTTCGTCGTCGGATGCTTCATCTTCTCCGAAATCCGCTTCTCCTTTTTGCGCTTCATTCTCGGCTTATTCCTCACGTTGTTTAAGACTCTGCTTTTGTCCCTTCCACCTGACTTGGCCGAGTTGATCGTTAACTCTTTCACGAGCGTCCTTACCTCCTCGGATGTAGCTGACGCGACGTCTGCGCTTGCTTCTTTTACCTGTTGCGTCTTTGGTGCAGCGTCGCGAAGATTCTCATTTCTCTCCAACTTTTGCGGGCTCTCGCCCCGAAGGGACGTCACTGGCGAATCGTCCCTCGACACGTCCTCTTTCTCTCCCCCAGTCTTTCTTTCCCTGACTGACGTTCCATTCTCCATTGTGTCACCTTTTTGAGAAATATCCTTCGTCGTGTCGACAACATTTTGCGAACACTCTGCTGGGCACTCCGGAACAGCGGTCTCAAAATTGAATTCCACGTTCGACGCTGAAATTGAAGAAAACACGCTCGTGGTATTTGCAGTACCTTTGTCCGTGAACAGTTCTAAAATTCTTTCGTCTTCTCTACGAGGCAGCGTGGCTCTTTCGCTCTCGCACGCGGGCGTTGTTGCATCTTGGCCCTTGCCGAGGGATCTCGACCACTCGTGTTCGTCGAAATTTGGCGAACCCTCTTTCTCTCCGAGCAATGGCTTGATCGTGAAAATGTCCAAGTCAGGGAGGGAGTTGAACTTCTCGGTCGATCGTCCATCGGTGTCGTCTATGTACTCGTCCAGAACGATGAACGGCTCGCTATCGTTGAACGTTTCGTGATCGTCGGTGATCTCAGCGACCGTTAGGAATTTCTTCTGACCGGAAGGGAAATCGTAACCTTGATCGTCTTCCCTCGTCGCTTCTTCGCTCTCGGCCTTACCGTCATCTTTCACATTTGTATCTTCGTCGTTCACTGTTGTTTCCTCCAAGCTGGAGATGGACAACGCCTCGCCATTTCCTGCTACCTTCTCGTCACCGCCATTCCCCGACTCTACAACAGATTCATCGTTAAACGGCTGATTGGTCTGCAATCGTTGGCTGAGATCTCCCTGCTCTTTCGTCGAATTCTTCTTGACACCCTCGTTCTCTGCCCTTGCACGACATAATCGTGATAGCTGGTAGCTGTCATTGTCGACAGTGTCGACGAGAAAACCCTTGAACGGGCTACACGGACTAGGAGATCTTGCCTTGTCCCTCACCTCGTCAGAATCGTCCGATCTCGTACTGTTGCCCGATCCATCTCGCTGTTCTCTCGCTGTTCTTTCGCTGTCGGCAGTATTTTCAACCACGCTCGTCCCATCAACCACGTTCGTCTCCGGAACAGGGTCAGTTTGGCCAGAGGTGGCCTCGTCGTTCTTGAAATTCCTCACGTTAATCCTATGGCCGTGTTTCTCGATATCGACATCGATCCGCTCGCTCAACAAATGATGAGATTCCCTGGCGACACGGTCAGCGGCAGGAGGTGCTGCGCCTCTCATGCATTTTTCAGCGGGAATCGATTCGTCGTGGCCAAGGGGCGTCGAGTCCGTCGATGACGCGTCGTTACACGCGTCTCTCTGCTTGTTCGAGCTTTCAACGGGCATAGATTCGACCGACATAACGTTTCTTTCCTTTCTCTTCGCCGAGCTCGCGAAGCCTCCATCGTCCTCCTCCGCTTTTTCTTTCTGATTTACGACCTGCCGATTTGGAACGATCGTTTCGTTATAAACTCGTGTCGAAACCGCGACGTTTTTGTCCCTGTTGCTGCCAACGAACGCCACGTGGCTGTTCCCTCTGACTAAGGAACGATCGTCGATTCGTTTCTGCGAAGTCGATGCGTTTCTGTCAATTGTCGTCGCTCTCGCGTTCACGGAACACGTTTCGGGGCCCTGGAATAGTTTCGACGAATCGCGGTCGCTTACCTTCTCGAACTCGCCTCGACTGGCGTGCTTCCGCGAGCATCCGATCAACGGCAGTTTCTTCTCACCGTTCTTTTCCGCCGCTTTCTTGTACGAACTCTCCACTATCGAGTTTTCCAGTTTACTCGAGAACCTCGAGCGCCTCCTACTCTTCTCGCTCGAGCTCCTCGCCTTCTCCTTTATCAACTTCAACTCCTTGTTCCCCTCGGATCGGATGTTCTTGAACTTGGACGAGTCAATGGCCGAGGTGATCGGTCTCCTCGGTCTTCTCCTCGAATTCAGGCCCATCGGTGCCTTCCTTCTGTCTGGATTCGGTTCGTCGAATTCAGTTCGTCGCGACGCAAGCCTGCTGTCGCCGCGTTCCTTCAGTTTCGATCTCATCGGATCGTTCACGACAGCGTTTGATCCGGTGTTCGCGGATCGAGCAGGAACCGACAGCTGTTCTTTGGTCTTTTGCGCAACAACGTCCGTGCTCTGACGATCCTGCGAGCAGTTTCTCGTCTCTCTCGCCCCCTTGTCGGACTGCTCCGCAATTGTAGCAGATCTCGCCTTGTCAATCAATCGCTGATCCTTCCCCGTTTGTACTTGGCTCGCGTCGTCTTTGCTCGTTCCTCCAGTGTTCGTCTCTCTGGCTGGCTCCGACGAGCCAGATTCAACATTGAGCTTGCTCGTAGCGTGACTGGATCTCGGGGGGGCAAAACTCGTCGCGTTCAACTCCTTCAAACGTCTCTGCAGCGCCCGCTCTTTGTACGCTTTTATGTCTATCTTCCTGTGACCGTTGCCACCGCCCTTGTTCTGCGTGACAGTCGTCCCCGTGCACGCCCTCTGATCGTGTTTACTCGCATTGCCATCAGAAACGTTGGTATTCAACGTTGTGTCGGTCGTGTGTATCACTGCACGTGTCATATTGTTACTAATTGACTGAAGAAACAATGACGACTCCTTAACGGACGACGGAGCAGCTTGGCGCAAAGTTTGAACGTCCTTGTCTATCTGTTCGCTACAGCACCTCGCTGTTTCGTTTGCCTCGCTGTTTACTTCCGAAGGATTTCTCGTCCTCTCTGTGTTCATCGCGGTTTCAGTTACTTCTTCCGTAATCCGATTGGACTCCGGCATCTGTTTCAGCTGCGCCTTGGTTTTCGGCTGCGTCGGGGAAACAACGGTTGATGGTTTGCTCCTGGTTTGCTCGTTGCAAACAAGGGCAGAGACTTGTTGATGCTTCTCTGCTCGCAAGCCTTGAGATTCGTTTCGCGAGTCGGATGCCTTGTTGTTGTCGATCGGGGCATTGTTGTTCGAAGCTATCTCGCTAGTCGACGAGGAGCTCCCCTCGAACGTGCTCGCCTCCCTCGCTTCTTTCTTGATCTCGTCTTCTCTCAGCAGCCGAAACTCCTCCACTTGGCCCGTGTCGGACCTCGACCTTGATCGAGTGCCCGAGTGAGAATCTCGCCACCTCTTCCTCCTCCTCTCCCTCCTCCGTTTCTCTCGCCTGTCCCTTTTCCTTCTCTCGCGCTTGCGGGATCTCCTCTCCTTGTGCCTGCTCTTCTCCTTCCACTCCTTCTCGATCTCAGCGGCCACCTCGTCCCTGATCGTCTCGTTCAGCGACCTCTTCTTCGCGATCTTCTCCTTCTCCTTGATCACCTTCAGCAACTTCGTCACGTTGGGTGCCATCGTCTCCTCGCCGTCTCTATCGCTCTCGCTGTCGCTGAAACTGCTCGAACTGCTACTCTCGGACTTCTCCACCTCCTTCGTCTCGTTAGAGGTAGCCTCGCCAACGCACCTGTCCGCCGCGTTAGGAATAACCTCGCGGTTCAGAGGACTCATGCTCGAACGTCTGGCGGGTGAGTCCGAGAAGCAGTGTCTTCGGTGTCTTTGAGCACGTTTGCTCAAATTCTCCGCGCTGCTGCTCGAGGCGTTCCTCCGAGGCGGGAGGCCAGCCGCTCGCACGTCGCCGCGGTGACCGTACTTCGCCTCCCACTCCTCCTTCGTCAGATTCCTGAAAGTGTCCGGATCCTGCCGCGCCTTTCTGTTCCATCTCTCGTACCTCAGCGAGCTGTTGCGGTCCGCGGAGCTGGACTTCCGCGCCCTCGTGCGATCCACGCTCGCGTTGTTATTGTTGCCGAGCTGCTTGGCTCGAACGATCCCCGCTGAAAAAATATCGTCCAGATCAGCCACCGGTCTGTTGGCTGCAATCCGCTCCGAGGGAGCTTCCGCGTTCGAGTCGACTGTTCGAGTCGACGGAAGCGTCTCGACGGTCGTCCCCGCGACTGGCTCCGCGGACAGGCTGGTAGTCGACAAGGTCCTCGTTCTCTCCGCGACTTGAGACAGTATGTCGTCCAAGTCAGCCTCGTTGAACAACGGCTGCTGTTGTTGCTTCTTGTGAGCGCTCTCTGTCTCACCGACCAGAGAGTTTGCATCGTTTGACGCGTGATGATGATGATGATGATGATGATGATGATGATGATGATGATGATGATCAGAGTCCTCTTTAGCACGCGAGAGTTTGTCTTGTTGCAAATTGTGTTCCTCAGTTTCCGGACATTTGGCGAACGACGGTACTCTCGGACTGTCCGAGCTGGAATTTTCTCTCTCACTCGTGACGCTCGAGTTTTGGAGCAACTCCGGCGCGTCGAACGGTATGTCGAGTTGCAGAACCTCGCTCAGATGGTGGATGAACTCCGTCGGCAGGTCCGTGATACCGACAACGGCGCTCGGGTCCAGCATCGCGTTCAGCTGATTCATAAATTCGATCCTGTCGTACTCCTTCATTTTCTCGTCCTCGACGTTCCGCAGCTCCAGGGAGAGCGACGACTTCCTCTCCTTCACCAGATGCCTCATCGCGATGTCGAACTTGCGGAGGCTCGAGTTGTTCACCATGTTGCAGATGTCGTTCTTGCTCATTTTCAGGAAACGGCTGATCACACGGCTCTTCCACAACGACTCCGTGGTGAGGGCGCTCTCCTTTCTAGAGTCTTCTCTCGGCTTTTGACTCTTTCGCGCGCCCGCCACGTTGCCAGGCAACGTTGTCGCGTTCTCCTGCAACTTCTCCGAATCCCTGTGACTCTTGTGACAGTGAGACTTTTGAGCGTTGTTCGACTTTTCCTGCGTGGAGATGCCTGCCACTTGCAAGTCACTGTTCTTTTTCACTTTCACCTCCTTCTGCTGCTGATTTCTGCTTTGATTCGCGTTTGTGTTTCTGCTTTCAGCGGGATGATGCTTCTTGGAGTTGGATTTGTCTTTGCTTAAATTTTGCACCGTGCCTTGTTGAGAGATCTCTCTGTTTTCCGAGACATTTAGAGGGGCCCTGTGCCACTCCTCTGCTTTGTGTATTTTCTTGGTCTTGGAATTCAAGTTGAACACCACTTTCGGCCTGATTTGATCGCTTGACAATAACACGTCCTCTGTACTTTTGCTCTGATTTTCTACTACTGTTTGCCCTTTGTCTGTTGTTTCGATAGCCTCTTGTTTCTCCGATCCAGACAACTCTGGCCCGCAAGCTGCAACATTTTGCCTATTTTTTTTACTTCTACTTTCTTTCCTCTTCTGCTTCTTTGCACTACTCGCGTTTCTTTCCTCTACAGACAGAGAAGCATCTGCAATTTCAATTGGCACTGGAATTTCTGCCGGTGTCAATGCTGACTCAGGAACTGGCCTATCTCTGTTCTTTACTTCTTCCGTCAAGTTCATTATCTGCTTTGCAAATTCCATTGCTTCTTGCATATCTTCCAAACCGTCGTCCATATTTATACCTTGATTAAGATTGGAGTTTCCTTTCATCGAAGAAGAAGGTTCTTTCGGTGGCGGTGGAGGGACTTCAGTGATTGTCATAGGTGGTAATGAAAACTCCCTCGTCATTCCTTGTCCACCACTTGCTTGCGACATGACAGATGGAAAGTTCATTTGCACGTTGGACACGAAAGGTCGATGCGACGGTATGTTTATGGACGATAGTCGTGGAAAATTTGGCGTAACTGGACCGATATTGAAATCTGGTACTGACGACGTTTCCATTAAATTCAATGGCACTACGTTTAACCTGGATGCATCTAAAGGAACAACCAAGCTGGAACGCTCTTGAGGGAAGAGCCTTGGATCAAAAATTGGTGGAGGTTGGAGGGTTTTCTCCCTTTTATGAATTTTCGGAGGTGGCTGTTGCGGATTAAATCCAGGTATTTGTTTATCAATTGTCACCGAGACATATGGAATCTTAATAGTCGGTGGTCCCCTGGGATCAAAGGCAGATGATGGCTCTATAACTTTTGAAATGTTTTGAGAAATCTTTTCCCGAGACATAGATTGTAGACTTTCTTGCTTATTCGACGAGTCGGTACCTGATTTTGATTTTATGTTTGGCGGAGGTTCGCTTGGATCAAAGGCAGGAGGCAGATCGTTAGAAGAAAATGGTACTATTGAATTGTGCTGAGCGTCATGGCTTGAAACAGATATATTACGTATAAATGGTGGCAGCGTTCGTGGATGAAATCCAACTGATACTAAATCAGTTGGCTTAAATGATGTAACGTGTTTTGGCGGAGAGATCCGGCTACCATGTTGAAAAGACAATCTCTGTGGTCCTCTGAAGAATGAATTTGTTACATTCTGTTGGAAAGTCCAATGACATCTAGGTCCCTCTGTTCTCGAAGTAAATCTAGGAGATACGTTGAAGACCTTTGATTGAAAAGCAAGTGGATTGTTTAATTTCTTATCGTCGTTTAACTTATTCGCTTCATTGTAATTTAAATGCGTTGAAGATGCGGGATCACAAACAATGTTCAAGTGAATTTCTTCAGATACATTTTTCACATTTTGATCAATTACCTCTTGGGAAACATTTGTTTCTGGACTATTTTGAATCTGATCATCTTTAAGCAATTTTTCATCTGTATGATCATTGTGTTGTACATTTACATCAATGTCTTGCGTGATATCACTATTTTGATCCTGTACATCTGCTTGCACAGTGTTTTGATCTTGTGGAAAATCTATCTTTAACTCATCTTGATTATTTGTAGTTACTGATGTAGAAGCTGTTTTTATGTCATTTACATCCAAAATCTTCTCCAGTAATGAATTATCCACTGATTCTGTTGGTGACAAATTTGTTATATTCTCATCTACATTTAAAGTAGATAATTTTTCATCAGCATCATCAAGATTGAAGTTTGAAGATGTCAAATTTCCTGTAATATCGCTACTTTGCAATTGTAAATTGTCTACGTTGCATTCAAAAACAGGTAATTCATGATGCATCTGTTCCTGACATTTATCATCTTCCACCAATACATTTGACTGATTGAGGTCATCTTTCTCACACGAATCTAGTATAATTATGGGTTCTTCTCTACTTTCATCTATAATAATAACTTCATTATTTGTACTTGCAACGTTGTCCTCAGGCTTCCTCTCAAAACTAATTGAAATCTCATCACTAAGTTTACTATCTAAGTTTCCACATTTTAAATTATTGCAGTCGATTCTACCTATATCCTTAAAGTCAGTAAATGTTAGATCAAGTTCAGGCGGATCGTGTCTAAGCTCAGGGATACCTCTGTTTGGTATATCCTCTTCTTCATTATTTGGTAAAACAGACAAATCATCTTCCCAGAAATTCGTAAGCTCTTCTTCCGTTATAGAGGACAATTTCTTTTTTAACTTGTCAGCTGTTTCTGCAATCTTCTGCTGACGTTCCTCTTCAGATCCAAGCAAAGGAGTCTGCGGTGTCAATACAGACTCATCTTCAACCTGTTCTTTGTGAGGTAACGAGGCTGTATGCACAGGAGTTCTTATAAAACCCATACGAAACTGAGCTAACGGTGGTCTGCCAGAACCAGAAAATCTTACTATCCCACGACCACCTGCCGCTCTACCCCGGCTATTCGGATGATACTGCAAGTTGCCTCTGTACTGTGGATGAAAATTTTTGTTCTGTTGCCATGGTGCAAAGTTTGGGCCAGATAATCTATGCGATGGTCGTGGATGATTGAAAGTAGGATGTGGAAATCTGGGACCGTTAAAGCCATTGGCTGGACCGTTTGTACGAGCTCCCCGTGGTCCAAAGCTTCTCCCACGGTATCCACTGCTGCTCATTACACTGCTAATTGTGACACTTTGATTATCACAGTATGTTTAAGCCTGGGGTCCTGTTGATAGCCATGCGACTCCTAAAATGCTCTACAGTTATTACGCTAATGTTCACATGCTGCATAGTTTGTGCAATTGCGTTCCCCTTATCTGGTAAAACAAAACGCCTCTAATGCTTCCTCGAATTTATTGACACGAATCTCTCGAGGGCTGCAACCAGCTGTAAACAATTCAAAGTTGCGCAGGAAACGTGCAAAAGGACGTATCTCCTCGCTCCTCGAGCCTTCTCGATTGATATTAAATCTCTGCGATTATGATATACATATGTGTGATGTGTAACGTACATATTACGATTGGTGCGTACGGATTGTATCCTTAGGTTATTATGCACGAGTCTCATGCAACGTTAGCGAAACAACAACAAAACGACGTGCACTTATTATTCAAATAATAATCGCCATGTTGCACAGCTGAATTTCGCCAGGCTCGATAAACAACGCGTATACCTCGCTGTCAGACGATCACGTTTCGAGCAAAACTACATCCAGAGAACTTTAACTTCTTCGTACGTTGGCCCGACGTTTCAATTGTCGCGTGTCATGCATTTCTAGCAGTTGTATTTAAATACGCAACGACAGCGCTGCATCTCGTTTCATTTAATTACATCTTCACTCCTCATGTTTAAAAACCTAAATTCAGTCACGAACTGGCTAGCATCTTAGATCGCTCTCGTTCAGCCTCCGCGTAACGACGCCAACTCTGTCCTGTTGGTCTTGCAAACTGCAAGCCTAGAGTCGCATCCGTTTCTTAAATCAAAAATTAACGATGTTCAATCAATACGATCTAAATCTTGCTTGCAATGCAAATTAAATACATCTTCGAAATATTACCGACCGTCGCTGTCGCATCACGTCTTTTTTATTAAAATTGAAAGAATTTAAGAACTTGCACGGAACAATTACTATATTATTATAATATTACAATATTATATATATGTATATGATTTGTAACGTTGTAATATATGTCTTTCATTTTTTTGAATGAATAATAAACAATGCAAGTTTTATTATCCTTATTTTACCCTAAGTTTCTTAGTTTCCTATTTTACCCATAATTTCATTTCTCGTATCGCAATTTACAAGACTTGATTGCAAATAGTTTTCTAGTTCATTCTCGACTAATAACAGTACTTGTGCCGTTGTCTTATGTTAAAGACAGATTCAGCTGATCTCATTCTTTCAATGTATATTATTTAATGGTTTCTTTTTTTCAGTAGATTATTTTCTTTTTTCTTTCTTTATCTCTCACGAGATAAAAATATTTGCTCAAAAGGTTTATACAAGAAAGAGTGATTGAGAACACTTGTCGGTTAATCATTAGTGGAAAAACACCGCCGTCACAGCGTTGTTATTTTTTTTCAACGTTTTCGATTTTAATTATCTGTATTTCATAACAATTGCAGCATACACTCGCCAGCATACACCCGGTGATTCGTCTAATCAGCTTCTACATTTTTTTTTTTTTTTTTTTGGAATGCACAATTGGCAACGAATTTCAGAACACACCCGTTCGTTGTAACAAATTCATCCCCTCCACCACCACTAGCTATAACCGTATTGCTTCCTCACCATCAGGAGAGTCAAGAGCGAACGCCTAAGTTATAATCTCCCGTTCGAGGATCTCCCGCGATGCTGTCCAACTGTTCGCGGTTTGTGCCTCGTGTAATAACAAGAATTAGTATATCACGAACGAAGGTAAATTGACAAATTAACAATATATTGTTCGGCTTAGTTGTTAACTCATCTGTGGCATACATATTGAGCAAGAGCATAAGGAACCTAACGCCGTTCGAGGGTCGAATCTACCGACCGAAAATTGTCGAAATACCACCTTTACCTATTGACATCAGTTATATAATAGTGCCTGAACGGATTACGATTTTTCGGTCGGTCTATCAACTGTATATTTGTCAACGAGAAAGTAAAATACGTAACCGTCAGATACGTACTTGCGTCTTAGATAACCAAATAGATTGAATTTTGAGAGTGTCACTCAAGATCAAAGTTTTTTTCCTATCTGTCCGACAGATACAATATACCTATTTTTATCTGGTTTCTTTTAGAAACCACCTTTATGTCATAATGTGTATAAAATTATATAAACATATCAGATTTGCATGTAACATATTTTAATTGCCAATTATACACTTTGAATGGGATATTAGTGCATATGTATTGATTTGATTAATTGATTTATATATGTATATATATATATATATATATATATATATATATATATATATATATATATATATATATATATATATGTGTGTGTGTG